TAATTGGAATAGCCCCTTAGGCGACCAGACCAGACCCATCTTACTGGTGGTAGAACCACTTGTGAGTCCGCGCGGATAGGCACCACCGCCCTGCCTATTTCTGCCGTGAAGCAGTAATGCGTTTCGGGTTGAAGGGTGGGGCAGCCGTTGTAACTATACTGAGACTTTAGAACTTGTATCTCAAGGTGGGTGGCGCGTCTACGTTGTAGATGTCTATGGGCTCCAGTAACCACTTAACACCAGGAGGGCTGTGAGCTCGTCCACCCATCTAAGCAATAAAAAAAATTAAAAAAAAGACAACGACCGTTCATTGCTTCACGTGAAATCTTCAGAAAACGCTATCTTGTTTAATTACCACGAACCGAGATAGCCCGCACAAGCAAACATGCACTTATTCGCTGTAATAACAAGCTTATCTTTAAAGGAAATATAAATATTTTGCTTGAGTATTATTCTCACGTGCAGCACGTTGTTTCTCTAACTCATGTGTTAATGTGTTTGTTTATAATTTATGACGTCTCATAGTAGTTATAGCTTGTATTTTTTTAAATTATATACAGTCAAACCTGGATAAGCGAGAGTACAAGGGAGCACAATCTCATTCTCGCTTATAGAGGTTTCTCACTAACCCGAGTTTCTCGCTAATGCTCCCTCTGAATTTCATTTCGCGATTTTCCGGATTCAAACGCATTCACTATTTTAAGTTCATCACTTAATGACAGTACTTTAATTTTCCGTTTTGACATGATGCAGAACAGAACTTTCCTTCGCAATTGATTAACGATAAACTGAGTAAGGCCGACAAACAGGACGGTACACAGGCACACGTGTCCAGTCAAAAAGAATGCGATAAAATAACAATGTTATTTAGTTCCACGAAATAGAATAGGTTCAATATTGACGAGAAAAAAATACAAAAACAATGATAGGAAGTTCCACGAAAGTTAAGAATGAGTCATAAAATAGTAAATGTTAAATTGGTAATTTTTTTTTCTCCTTTGTTCCTCCTAAATAATATAAATAAATAAAGCTCGACTGTCGCTTATAGAGGAATAGATAAGTAGCAGTCTCACTTACGGAGGTCCATGAGGGAAAAATGACTCTCTCTAACACAGGTTTCTGTTTCTCGCTAATAGAGGTTTTGGGAGCTTAAAATGACGGGTCCTGGCTATTACTCTCACTTATAGAGTTTTCTCACTTATCCAGGTTTGACTGTAATGTCCTTTATAAAGATAGCTCGACTATTATCTGGAGATTTCTGCCCTATGGTGATTTATACACAGCAAAGGGTTGAAACATATTCACGGTTTCTGGATACGTGACATATCTTCGGACCAGTACCCTCGCGAATGATGAACATTTATTCATTCTTTTATCGTTAAACATCGACTGTAGTATGAATGAAAAGGATTTTTTTTTCTTTCTAATCTTAAATATATTTAACGTCAAATAAATAAATACGTCTCCAACATGGAAATGGACAGGCCTTTATTTTTTTAAAGTTTACGCGTAAATCTCCGTCAAATGCAACTGCATTCATGTGACGTCATTAGTGGCCAACATAACGACACAACTATAATAAACTTTCCCTTACTTAGTTAGTTAGTTAAAACTTAGGATTAAAATAAATATTAAAATATATACAGTGATTTAAATACGTTTCTTTTTTAAATTAAGTAATGTAGACCTGGGACCGCACCGCAAAACCCGCAAAATTATAATTTGCGTAATAATTACTGGTGGCAGGACCTCTTGTAAGTCCACAAGGGTAGGTACCATCACCTTGCCTATTTCTGCCGTGAAGCAGTAATGCGTTTCTGTTTGAAGGGTGGGGCAGCCGTTGTAACTGTACTGAGACCTTAGAACTCTTATCTCAAGTTGGGTGGCGGCATTTACGTTGTAAATGTCTATGGGCTCCAGTAATCACACCAGGTATGCTGTGAGCTCGTCCACCCATCTAAGGAATAAAATATAAATAAAAACTAAACCACTGACCTGCCCTCCTGCCCAAGACAGAACCTGGGAAAGGTGGGAGGGATAACCGCACTCAACACTCTCCTTTTTTTTCTATATAGCCCCCACTTTTTAAGTCTTGTTTGTATCTTAAATCTTAAATCACGTGGAAGGAAAGAGAAGTCGAGGAAGATTGCCAACCAGGTGGACGGACATTATCAAGGAGGCCACAAACACCAGCGTCCCGGGCGCCATTAAGCAGGCCGAATGCAGGCAGCATTGGAGGAAGCTGGTGCAAAAACTGGACCAAGGTGGTCACGACCCTCAGCAATGAGGAAACGACAGAGAAGAAGAAGTATCTTAACTACTGACAGTAGAGCATATTGCAAGTACACACAGATTAGGCAACATCATATCATACAAAGGGTGTTCGTTTGGAAGAACTGCCTCACTTGAGTTCACATTTGATTTAATCACTCAGTAATATGTTTTAAGTTGAGAATTATTTTAAGACAAAGCTAAAATAGAAAATGTTTTGTTTCTTTGGTTTACAAAAATAACAAGAGCAAAGGTTTTGCATTGGAATAGAAAGCATTGTTTTGCAAATGATAAGGAAAATAGATTTCCGTAACAATAAATTCCAAAGAAATCAAGTTAATAAGATATGATAACGTGTTTTTAATCTTTAAATAAGAATAATAATTCCAAGGTCATTAGAATAATATATTTCTGGTCAATGGCATGTTTCTTTGTTTTCACATGTTGGTGCAAGTGACGATCTTTTAATTACACTTGTAGACAAATATTTATTTTCCACAACATAAAGTAACTATTACATTGCATTACTGTTTTATACACATTACTTGTGATTGAAAATATTGTGGTCAAGGTCATTAGAATAATATATTAAAATACTGTCAAGGAACGTTTGTGCAACAAGGCATATTATAAAGTTAAGGATTATTTACTAGATGGCACTACGTGGGAATGAGGTGCTCGCTCCTGGCCTTTTCATTTTTCATTATTATTATTATTTTTTTAATTGTATTTTTTTGAGTTGTTTTTTCCTTTATTGTAAATATTTTTATTTATTTAAAAAAAGAAAAGATTTGAGAAAAAACAAAAAAAAAAGCCCGCTGAGTTTGTTTTGCCGGTTCTTCTCAGAACTGTGGCTTTTTTTGGAACCGGTGGTAGAGTTAACATTGTTATTTGTATTTTGACCTTCAACAAGTGTGTCATACTGACATCTAAGTTGAAATAAATGATTTTGAATTTAAATTTGAATTTGTTGGGTGTGCCCAGACTTTAACCCTACCAAAGTTTAACACTAAAATATTCCTGATACCAGAGTTTTGTATGGCCGGAAGACATTGGCAACACAATGTTAATCTCGAAGCACACCTCAATTATTATTGTAACTATTCCTTCCCTTCCCTTCCCTCCTGACCGTTCAGAATGGAATACGTAAAATTGATTGTAACTGAAATAAGTAGAATGGTGGTACTAGTGTAACCGACTGATTACTGACATACAACCTACCGTCAGTAAAATGATATCACTTATAAAGTTCAGAAATTACAAAAAAATTTGTATTTAAGATTCGATTACCACAAAGCCCTACCAAAAACTTTTTTTTATTAGTATCTTTGGTTTCAGTTTGTTGGAGTTAATGGATATAGAAACTCCTTATCAAAAACATATACATAGAAAGAAGTGACAAGAGTTGTCATAAGAAGAAGTGAAAAAATGTCTGTCACTTCGTGAAGTAAAATAAAATAAGAAAACTGTGATTTCGATAATAAATTCTAAAACATCGACGTAACTAATACTAATATATAAAAGTGTGTTAGTAGGTATATTATTTCGTAACTGCCTGCACTCTGCTACCAAGAATTTTAAATCGTATCACAGTTTACAGTGAGATTAAAAAAAAACCTTTTTAATATTTTAACTTCCATATTATTATAACTTATCTTTTATAAATACATATTACATTCCATATTTGCTTAATACTTATTACTTGTGCCATTTTAAGCATATATTATAATGCAACCATAATATTAGATTATATTTATTTATTGTCATCATAATACCATAGATTTTTCATGATGCCCATTGCAGTAGTAGAATTGACATAATTTCATTCATAATTTCCAGGAAACAAGTCCGATACAATTTTCTCCTAGGATCACTTTTGCAAAAATCATATATGAGTCGACTATTATCAAAGCCGGCAATCTGACTTTTGGACAATTATTGGTAAATCAGAAAAACGAATTATTGACTTTGTATTCCATTGGCAGTCACAAAACTCTTCGGAACGACATCTTAGATAAATAACAGGTTAACTATTAACGTTTATTTAATGCAGGTTTTGAACCGTATTCTTAGAAGGAGACGATTATATTCAAATCAATCTGTATTGACATATCAATAAATTTTTTTTGTCCAAATGCACAGATTGCCACCTTTGATAATAGACGACTCATATGAAATATACTCAAAAAAAATATTTAGAATGAATTTAATTTCTATGATAACTTGCAAATATTATTTTTCTATATCTAAATATAAATTTTATTTCCAGAATCATCTTCATTGGAAATGCTGATTTTTAGAGTAACTAAATTGGTTTTTTAAAGATTTTAATTCTAATTTTAATTAACACTTTTTTGTCATTAAAATGAATTAAATTAGAATTTTAATTTTGGTGTTTATTTTTTGTAAACTTGTAATTGATTGACACATTCATACTGAACTAGAAATAAAAACCGTTTCTGTGATCCCAAGCTTATCATACTAAACCAATATCCAATATATGAATATGCTGATGGAATATCGAATATTTTTATATCATAAATGATCTATTGTAGAACTCTAATGCAATTTTAGTACTAATTAAATTCTTAATGTATGATGTAGTCATTCTTAGACGGTTTAAATAAATAAGATAACAACAAAAGTCGCTATATGTAATTTATGCGATAAACCTGTTTTTGGAGAAGATACTTAAAAACACAAAAAAACAAACAAAAAAAAAAACTTACGCCGCAAGCTTCTCGCTACTGACACGGAGAAATTATTTAACGCCGACATTTTGATAAATTAACCACTAATTATACTTTATTTCACTTGAATTAAGGTTTTGCTATTTAAACTTAAAGATTAGCACAGCACATCCACTTATGGTCACAAAATTAACAGTATATAAATTTTAAAGCATGCGTTTCGAATTTTGCGAAAGTGACGTATCTGTGCGATAAATTTATCGTAAGAGGCGCGGCGACAATATAATATTAAACCAATTGCCAATAACCGTCGTGGCGTGGCTGTCCTGAATCTGAAAGATAAGCTATCGCTTTATTTAATAGAAAAATAGAAATCAACAAAGCAAGCAACCAATGCAACGACCCGATAGAAAGCTTTGACAGTTTGACATAACATTTTATGTGACAAATGACTTTAGAATTTTATTGACAGGAATGCCTCTTGTTTCTTTCGAAACAAGATAAGGATTTAGGAATCAGTTTAATACATTCGTACAATACAATAAAATTTCTTTTTAGAACATAGAATATCATAATTACTGACTACATAAAGATTTATATTATCTTTACCCCAATTCCTAATGCCCAATATCTGACATAGGACACGCGTGAATGCACGTACAGTTACCAACACATATTACGAAGGCATAAAGAATGAATACATACTTTAGAATTGTGAAAAAATCCACTCTTTTTTTTTAACCAAATATTTTACATCTTTTTTACATTTAATCGGCTAGACAAAAAAGTAACACGAATGTTAACTAGCAGCTTGTTCAAACATTTTAGTTTCAATGTTAAAATTCATATTACAAACGCAAATTTTATACTAAAAATTGCTTTGCGGGAAATAGACAGAGCGTCCCCTTTCAATCGCCTACCTTATTTAATGCTTCGAACGTTTATAATAAATATCATTAGCAGATTGACACCGTTTCTTCAATCTAGTACTAATTCTATCCGATTTCTCAATAAAACCATCAAAGATTGTACAAATGTTTTCATCATAATTACAGCCTATCCACTGGCTACTGCTGAACATAGATCTCTCCAATTGATGTCCAGTGCGGCCGGTCCGTTCCCACCTGCATCCAAAGTGGCCAAACCTGACGACGCTGCTAACACGAACCCTAGCGAGAACCGTGCTTCGCAGAATCTACCACCGGATCGGAAACGCGACCCACTGAGAAGATCCGGCGAGAAACTCAGTGGGCTGTGTCTGTGGGTTAATTTACTTGCCGAGCCCATCGTCGCAAGCGACGGGTTCGACGAGAACGGTGACCGGTGCTAGGGGTATCTAAAAGCAACGTTAGTGGATTGGGAGGATCCGAGATGACGTGTAATGACGACGATGCTTTTACACATACAACATTGGTAAATTACCCCATTACATTACCGACAGTCGAGACTTCCACAGCAGATTAGTTACTCTCAACACTAATTAATAAAACAACATATGAACTGTATAGTTTATTTATTTATTAGTTTCGTTATAAAATCGCTAATATTCAACGTTAAAAGCAATAAATAACAAAATTCAACAAACACTATTCACTTGACTCCCACTATATACATGAGAATTCTTAGAGCGCTCCTTCGTCTGATGCTATCGTAATCGATATCGATAAAATTTCATTTCGAATAATGATTCGCATCACTACAAAAACTAGAACCATACTATTCAATCTAAGCGATCGGACATAAACACATTAGTAGTGTTTAGCACAGAGTCTGGCTTATCGATAACGAACATCACGACCAAATATAATATACATCATAAGAATTCTATTATTTTAACAAATTTTTTATCGTCTTCAAAACACCGTGACAAACGAACCAAACCGAAAAGTATCAAAATTTTATTTAATTTGAACCACTCCGTGATCATGATTGTTTTCTTAAATAAAATACAACCAAACGCTAATAGGAAATAATAATAATAAAATTATTAAATAATGTGCAGACACGCATCGAGAGATTTGAAAAGCGAACAATAAATTTTATTTTACTATGAACATTGCGAGCGTTTAATTCATTGTCTTTATTATTATTATTTTTTTAAGGGATATTATGACCTGGTTACTAAGACCTTTAAGTCATGTCTTATTTTAATTTATATAATCTTATTTTTATGAAAAATGATAATATGGAGTGAAATGAAATGAGATGAAATGGAGATGATTAATTTGAGACATTAATCAACGGGATGAAATTAAATGAAATGGGATTAGATGATATGGGATGAAATGTAATCTCAGTAAAATGGTGGTCATTTACTGAGATTTTTTCAGTAGACTTTTTGGAGGATCCCGAGAAGTTACGCCCAGCGGCTTTGTTTCGTTTTCCCACGTTTGTGCTCTTTCACAGATATTAAACAGTTAATAAACCACCGTTATTACACATTTAAACCTGAAGAAACACTAAATAGGCAAAATAAAACAAATCACACAACTTCACTCCTCGCGTTCCCACCAAAAAGTGATTGTCTTTATTAAATCCCTAACCTTCAAGTATGGCAGATGACAATGTTAAACTTCAGGTCGATTCTCTACAATCCCTCTCTCTTTTGACAGTTTTCAAAGCTTTTTGAAGTTTAAAAAAAGCTTCATTTTTATTATCTCCTATTAGCATTCAAATTTATATGTACTTACTTAAAAATTAAAGTCTCATTTTTAACAAAATATATGCATTAAGCTGTATTAAAAATGATAAATCATAAAAATATACCATAATTTATTTTAAGGGTCAAGTTATTTTTTTTTTTTAAACGAAAGGTTTTAATGAAGTGAAGAAACATTATTTTTATTTTCTTAAAATAAAATAATAAAGAAATTAAATTAACAAAAAACGTGAAGTCTAAATATACACAGAGCATTGTTAATATTCAAGGAATGTCTAGGGAATTAATTTTATTTAATTGGAACATGAAAAATAAAAAGTTGAGGAAATCATCCAATTTTTCGACATCTCTGTCTCACTTAAATGCAAAATTTAAATAGGATGAAACCAACGAATGATTTTCGAATTGACTAGAAAGAAGCGTGGATTGAGTATAATTTGATGTTTTTATTTCGCCGCAAACGATATTCGGAATTAGTATTCAGAATTAGTATAATAAATTAGTGTAGTGGTTAATATCGATATTTTAGTATATCGATTAAATATTTTTTTTTTATTGCTTAGCTGGATGGACGATCTCACAGCCCACCTGATGTTAAGTGGTTACTGGAGCCCATAGACATCTACAACGTAAATGCGCCACCCACCTCGAGATATAAGTTCTAAGGTCTCGGTATAGTTACAACGGCTTCCCCACCCTTCGAACCGGAACGAATTACTGCTTCACGGCGGAAATAGGCGGGGTGGTGGTACCTACCCGTGTGGACTCCCAAGACGTCCTACCACCAGCATATAGATTTTAGTTTGGATTTGAAACAACACAATAGCGATTAATTTCCAAAATAGCAGAATCTGTCTGACGACTGAATTCTAAACTTATAATAAACAAAATTAACGTTAGCTTATTCGTATCGTACGCGTTCGCGTATCGTTCGCTCGGGACGTTCTTGATACTTGTAAGTGCCAAGTATCAAAGCGAGTCGATCCACTGAAATGTTTTCAGTGCAGTTTAGAGCTGGCAAGTGGTGCCTCGTTAAAACGAAATAAACTTCTGCCTTCATATGGCTCTGCACTTTAAAAAATCACATAGCTCCAATTGATAGCAGGATTCGAGAAAAATAACATAATTCGACGCTTGAAAGACAAACGTGACTAAGCGACAATGCGTGAACTTTACAGTAGACTAATTTAAAGTTGAAATACCTGAAAACAAAATTTATTTTAACGAATCCAGCTGTAGTCGAATCTAGCTAGTAGCTGTAGGATTGAAATTATTTTAATAGACCTAGAAATATATTTTTCTTGCGCATCGAAAATGGTTATTGCCTATCATTTATGTACAAAGCAGTTATTGTCGCTTAGTCACTTTTGCCTTTCAAGCGTCGATTATATGGACGGTTTAGTGACAATCGCAAGGGAAATTAGCAAGTTCTTCATACATTACACCTTCATCGTGCTCTTAACGTATTTAATTAGCGCAAAATCACTATCATGATATAACTGATACAACCAGCTTATGTCGAATTCGAAGATATTTTGGTTTGATGCTAAATTTTTAAACAAATTTACACGGATATTTAACATTATCGTTTCAGTAACAATTGACAAAACTATTATATAGTTGATTAATGAACATAAGCACTGAGTTTCTCGCCGGATCTTCTCAGTGGGTCGCGATTCCGATCTGGTAGTACATTGCTCTTGTTAAGGCTAGTGTTAGCAATTCTCTCAAGTTGAGCCCGTGAGCTCACCTACCGGTTGGAATAGCCACTTAAGCTACCAACGATTAGGTAAGGAAAAAATGAGCATGACTTTAGATATTATACGTAATTAATTAATATATATATTTTTAATGAACACAGCAGTGCCTTAAATAGAGTATTGTATAAGTCAATCGTAAAATTCATTATTAATGTTCTTATACCATTTCATTGGCGTTTTAATTGTCGTTAAGAAGACATTATTATAACATTGGAATCGATAAATAGTACATCATTAGTTCATATCGATACCGCTGATACGTTTCACGTGATCAAAGCTTATTATACAAAGTTTTCGTTTGTTAGAATGAATTTAGCTTAAAGCTCTTGATCATGTTAAATAGGGTTGTCAAAAACATAGTTACTCTAAAAAATAATAATTTTGATTTGACAACCCTGAACGTGCAGGTCGGACTTGGATGTTGTGATTTCATTTCTCTCGCCATCGAGTTAAACTAGAGCTGCATTTGACGTTTAGTTTTCAGTCTGAACAAATATTTATTTTAACACCTAAAATATTTACAGACCAAGCAACCAGGCAACGCAACAGCCCAATGACTTTCTCGCCGGATCTTCTCAGTGGGTCGCGATTCTTATCCGGTGGTAGACTCTGTGAGGCACTGCTCTTGCTAGGGCTAGTGTTAGGTTAGGTTAGAGCCCCGTGAGCTCACCTACTAGTTCTGCGAATCTACCATAACCTCTCGAGGTTACTAGAGTAGGTAGGAAAAAGAAAAAAGCAGCGCAACCACAACCGACGACCCTAACAAGAGTGTCTAACTAAGAAGATATTTATAGATATATTTAGACCTAACATGCAAAAAAAATCATAGAACCTGGGAGACAAACATTCAAAAGACACATGACTCCTGTGTGGTCGAGACAATGAGTTTACAAACAAGAACGGAATCAATTTGATTTTACTTTAATTAGAATGATACTACTCGTATTCAGATATTAAAATGAAAGAATTCTAGTGAACTGTGACGTAACTAACATCAGATGACAAATTTGAGCGTGTTGAAGGTAGTTTGAAAACAATTTGTAATCCCAACGTTAGAATGGCAAGGCGAATACCAATAACTTGTCTCACTGTTCAATATTTTTTTAGACTTTTATATTAAAATTTCGAGGTGACTTCCGTTAAAATCTTTTATTTCCAGATCGAATCACATGAGATCGTATACATCTTCGTGCATTGTATAAGTTAAGTAACACGCCAGTTAATGTAATCGAATCAAAAGAAAAGTATCTCTTCATCGATAGTTTGGGGCGCGAATCAGTGACTTGTAGTGTCAGAAAAGTTGCACCCCATGGTCACTAGATGGCGTTGTACTGCCCGTATTGATTGCACTAAAATCCCTCCAACAATATGCGCTTATGGTAGATAAATAGGAGCACGGATAATAAGAAAAGTGACTGGACCGTGTTATCAGAGGCAACTGAGCTAAAGCTAAAACTGAATAAAAAACCAATAGACAATTTATTCACGTTCACGGGGAAGCGGTCAAAGCAAAACATGATTTAATAACGCTATCATTTTTTTAACACGAATCACAAAGCGTGACGTCATCCGTGGCTAATCGTGGTATAATAGAGTTGATAAGTTATTTACAGGTTTATTTTATAGCCTCACATTAATATAGGTTGAGGTAGAGGAATTTTGGGAAGCATAGAGTCAGCCGGTTCGCCATTGTGAAGGCCTTGTTTCAAATAAACGATTACTTGAAATTTAGCTTCAAATTTCGCCTTTTCACTTCGACATTGCATTTTGTTCAAATTGCCCTTAATCAATATTCATAAATGAATCATGAATCTTGCGGTTTTAACGTGTATTTAGTGTTTCATAAGGATGTGTGACAAATACGATCAAAAGAAATCGTTCCTTTTTTTTTGACGATCAATAAAATCGATTCTAACACCTAATCGATTTTGGATAAATCGCGACGTAAAAAGCTAATTTATTGCTCAATTAAAGGCACGCGTAATGTTTCAAAGAAAAATCGTTTGGATATCGAATCGATACGATACTCGATATTTAAAAACATAACGAAAATTTTTGGTCACAGGCAACCCAACGTTGGAGGAATCAAAACAATTGATACTTTACATTCTTGACCAGTTTTCGAGTATCGAAATGGAAGTACATGTACCTATATAGTAATGTACGAGGTTTAATCTAGTAATTTTTTTTATTGCTTATATGGTTGGACGAGCTCACAGCCCACCTGTTGTTAAGTGGTTAACGGAGCCCATAAACATCTACATCGTAAATGCGCCACCCACCTCGTGATATAAGTTCCAAGGTCTCAGTATAGTTACAACAAATTCATAGACTTTGACCATTTCGTGGCCTAATGTACTTCGGGCCCAGATTCAATCCACAATCACAGTACATTTGTTACAGATACATGCCGTTCGGTATTTTGATCATTTGTATGTACCCAAATACTATCCAAATGAAGTTTTATATTTTTAAACCAAATTTACAAAATTTATTAGAATCATACGACAAGAAAATTCGGGGAACGAAATTCATGTCTCAAACTAAAGAGTACTTCAGTCACATTATGTATTTATTTATTAGATAGATTTTTTTCGTCAGTTCTAAGATTTTTGGGACATAGCAATTTATTTTAATGTCGTTTTAAATACTAAATTAAACCTCGTGTATATTTATTAATTACATTAAATAACTACAACGAACAGGAGGATGAATTTACAACAATATTAACGAGTAAAATCTTGATACTTTACTTGATATTCTTCTGCAAAAAAAATACAGAAAGGATCAAGACTAAAGTCGTTGTTAATCTTCTATCTAATGTAAACTCACACAAGACAGGGACAAACGTAGAATAAATATGAGAATAGTCTTGATACTTTAATTAGATTCAGTCTTCTTTTTTTTCTTCGTCGGATTTCGGGTCCGCCTCAACCGGGGAGGGGGGACGATCCGACTCGCTCATCGATTCTGGAAATCAAATATTATTCTATTTAGATATTCATAATTGTGCCTAAATAATAACCGCATAAATAATTAAATGCAAACTGTTAATTTTAATTCGTATAAATTGGCTGAAAAGTTAATAGATAACTTGATACTAGGCGCCTTGAGATATAATATTTTGAACCGATACCTCAAACTCTGTTCACTATTACTCACTCACTCACTATTACTGTCTGACTGTAGACGATGCAAGTATTTTTTTCCTTTTTCCTACCTTATAGTCTAAGGGGCTATTCTAGCTTCAGGCGAACGGGTAGGTGAGCTCACGGGCTCAACCTGAGAGAATCAACCTGAGTGGTGCTTTGCTGAATCTACCAACGGATCGGAAACGCGACCCACTGAGAAGATCCGACGAGAAACTCAGTGGGTTTCACGATGTAAGATTATAAGTATTTCAGTTTTTTTATAGAACTAGTTCTGACCACTGTTTTATAGTTTTAATTTGTTCCCGACGATTCGACGTGTTGCCAGCGCCATGATCAAGCGTCGACTGGAGACTGCTAATAGGATGTCCGAAATATAAAATCTGTCTACCCGCTTTCAGGAACGTTTTCCACTCGTCTCGACAATATACACTGAAGTCGACCGAAGACTAACTTATATTTGTTAAATAAGCGTTTTCATACATTTTTATAGTTAGATGTCGAAACGCAAACCTGTGTTTTTTTTTTTAATATCACCACAGTCACTGATTCGCTGTTCCTATAGTAAATATAACATACAATGGTCGAAACTTTTCTTTTTATTGCTTATATAGGTGGACGAGTGTTAAGTGGTTACTGGAGCCCATAGACATCCACAACGTAAATGCACCACCCACCTTGAGATATAAGTTCTAAGGTCTCAAGTATAGTTACAACGGCTGCCGCGCTCTTCAAGCCGAAACGCATTACTGCTTCACAGAAATAGGTAGGATGGTGGTACCTACCCGTGCGGACTCACAAAACGTCCTACCACCAGTAAAAGCTTCTATAGTTAAACTGTTACTTACTTAGTATTATGTTTTAGCCTCCAATTACGTCATACGCCACGAAATGCTTTAGGAATGAGGGCTACCGACTCTCTGTTGCCTAACTAAGCAGTAGGAATAGGCAGGACCGCCAATCGCGAGTGCTCATGATGGAAATTTAGGTACGCAATTATACTCACTCTCAAAGTTATTAAAATGATTTCCTCCATTCTTCTCGTCTTCGCTTTCACTTCCCGAACTGGCTACCGAAGAATCGTCACTTCCGCCTGTCGTAAAGAAAGAAATCATTTTATATTTCATAATTCTATGTAAGTTTAATTAAATGCGATGCGCGCCATCTATCGTTCGAGGACAGTACTATGACAAAACTAAACAATACTTTAATTCATTCGAATAAACTTTGAACGTATCCGACAGAGCCCTGAAATTTTTTTTATCGCTTATATGGGTGGACGAGCTCACAGCCCACCTGGTGTTAAGTGGTCACTGGAGCCCATAGACATCTAAAACGAAATTGAGATATAAGTTCTAAGGTCTCAAGTATAGTTACAACGGCTACCCCACCCTTCAAACCGAAAGGCATTACTGCTTCACGGCAGAAATAAGCAGGTCGGTGGTACCTACCCGCGCGGACTCACAAGAGGTCCTACCACCAGTAAAGCCTTTCCAGTATCTGTCTGTCCCTATGTATGCTTAAATCTTTAAAACTACGCAACGGATTTTGATGCGGTTTTTTAATATATAGAGTGATTGAAGAGGAAGGTTTATATGTATAATAACATCCATTAAATAGTGGAGAAATCAATAATAAATTACAGTTTCCGAAGCGAAGCGAGGGCGGGTCGCTAGTATATATATAAATAAATGAACTGACCGTGCATCCTCCTTACGGCCGGCGGCAGCGCCTTCGGGCTGAGTAGCGGCGCGGCCGGCCTCTGCTTCCGCGCCGGGTTGAGACGCCCGCAGTACGCGCACACGTACGACACGTACTCGTACTCTTCGGCCATCGCCATGCCTGACACGGGTATAGAGCTTCTCAGTACTGTTGCCGGCTACTCAGCAATAACAACCGATTCGCGTGTACATAGCGCATATGCCAACCCAACCCAAGAAATGTGGTTTTTAGCCGACTTCAAAAAAGATGCGAGGTTTTCAATTCGACTGTATGTTTTTCTGTTTGTTCGTTACCTCATAACTTTTGACTGGGTGAAACGATTTTGATGATTTTGAAGTGAACTTCTTTAAGCGCATGAGGGTAAAATTTTTACAGATGTAACGTCACGCAGGTATGCAACGGAAGTATCGAAAAAGAGAGAGAGAGCGATCGAGACCGATTGAGAGAGAGTAAGACAGGGCGAACGTAGCATGAAGCAACTAGCCATGGAGTGAGAGTTGGGAGCAAGCAAGTGAGAAAGATCGAGAGAAAAAGTGAGACAGAGCGAACGTCGTATCACGCACAGTCCCATGGAGCGAGAGGTGGGAGAGAGCTATAGTGAAAAAGATTGAACGAGAGAGAGAATAAGGGATATCGAGAAATAATACACGCTATATTGGTTTGTGTATTCGTTCACTAGTTAATTATTTTTAATACAGCGCCATCTATGAGATTTTTTAATACTAACGTGTGTATGAAACCTCTTGTAGGGAATTTCAATTTAGGATTATACGTAAAGTTAAAATATCAATTCACAGAGGGCGCTACCTCATACTATAAAAGATGATTTACAATTATTTACTAATGACAAAATTTTACATATATGTACTTAGACATTTAGGATAATTGTATTTTAGTTTTTGAAGGTTTCACTTCTACCACGTGTGAATTGCACACATGTCTTTTTTTTATTAGAAAGCTGACGCTTCCCATGTGGTCCCATTTCAATCGTTATCTTTTTTTAATTTTTTTTATTTCCCGTGTAGGTAGAGGAGCATACGGCCCACCTGATGGTGAGTGGTTACCGTCGCCCATGGACTCCAGCAATGCCAGGGGCAAAGCCAAGCCGCTGCCTACCATCAAATATATCATAAATCGTATCATATATCGCACCTTTAGAATTATATAGACCCAATCAAAAAAATGTGTTCTTGGAAAACATCGACATAAAGATTTCAAACCGAAAAGTCGTAGTGAAAGAGACCGATAGATAAGTTTGTCCCTATCTACTAAGCTACTTTTGTTCATTTCAATATTCAGAGTTGTTGGAAACCCAACAAATTGGTATGAAACCTTTTTTATTATTGTTATTTTTTATTGTTGTGGTGGCTTTTGACATTACATTTGAATTTTGAATTTTGGAATGTCTTAGTTTTGTAATTCTCTTTTCATCCGTGCTATTGTACGCGATTTATAAAATTCTAAAAATACACAAATTTTATACGTGCAATCCTCGCGAGTTTATTTATAAAGTTCCTTGCCCATCCTAATCGTACAGTCCACTACAAGAGTCGCTGCAAGCGGTCGTTCTAGGTAAATTTTTTAATTAAAGTCGATATCCAAAAACTTCGAAATTAGTCTCTATAATTCTAAAGGTGCGATATATCGAGGACTGAAAGGAAAATTTGTTTTAAACGACATTCCGCTTAATACGCGAAATTTATCTTTGTAATCAAAAGTTCGTTTTATTTGATATCAGCATCAACAGTTCGATGTTTTCAATTGAACTTCAATTATAGTACATGGGTCATTTTCGGCCCAGCTACTAGTGCTCTCAAGGATATTAATGAAATATCTGTAGAAAATAAATAATAGCTTAAAAAACAAACAAAATAGGTACACTCCTTTTATAGAAAATCCAATTAAAAAATAGAAAATAAATTTTTATAAATTTGAATTCAAAATTGTGTAAGAAAAATGATTTTATTGTAAAAAAAAGCGTGGGGTGCATGGTATCAGTAGTTATAAATATGTTATGAACAGATATGAGTAGAAGGGTTATTTTGATAATATCCTGAAGAGCACCCCACGATTTTTTTTACAATATTTTTAATTCAAATTTATTATAATTTTTATTTAATTTTCAATGTCCCCTTACCGTTGTGCGAGAAGCATTCCCTGCATATCAGCGCCATCCGATGATTCGGTCCGTCCTTGAGAAGATAGTCCACCACTTTGTCGAGAGCAGACCGGTCCTTGTCGAGCAGTGGCCTGGGCAACTGGTCCGACTGTGGAATATAAGGCACTAATTTATCATCATCATCATCGTCATCGTCATCATCACCATCATCATCATCTCAGCCTGTCTACTGTCCACTGCTGAACATAGGCCTCTCCGACTGATGTCCAGTGCGGCCGGTCCGTTGCCACCTGCATCCGACATGACCCAGTAATTTTCACCAGGTCGTCGGTCCTCTGGTAGGTGGTTGTCCCACATTGCGCTTGCCAGTACGTGGTCTCCACTAGAAGAACTTTCTGCCCCATCGGCCGTCCTATCTTCGCGCTATGTGACCTGCCCACTGCCACTTCAGCTTGCTAATCTTACGGGATATGTCAGAGAAGCTATGGTTCTTCTACGGATCTCCTCATGTCTGATTCGATCTCGTAGAGAAATACCAAGCATAGCCCTCTCCATACCTCAGTGCGCGACACTGAGTATTAAATATTTATTTCAATTTTTTTTTTTATCTACTTCGAACTTACTATTACTTACTTATTATAATTTAATTTATTATTACTTAATATATCATCATCATTATCCTGCCCTTCTCCCAGTTACCTGGGGTCGGCGCAACATGTTTTCTCCTTCCATACTCTTCTATCATATACCATTTCTTCGCTCACTCCCTTCTTACCCATATCGTCTTTCACGCAATCCATCTATTCCTTCTTAGGTCTACCTCCTCCTCTATATCCTTCAACATTCATAGTTAACACTCTCTCACCAACCTCATTTACATTTCGTCTCATCACATGTCCATACCATCCCAAGCGCGCACTTCTCATCTTCTCTGTCACAGGTGCCACTTTCAGACTTCCTCTAACATATTCATTCCGTATTCTATCCATTCTCGTTACTCCACACATCCATCGCAACATTCGCATCTCTGCTGCATGCAATCGCCTTTCATCCGCCACTTTAGTGGTCCAACAAGCTGATCCATACAAGACGGCAGGCCTTATTAAGGTCTTATATATCTTCCCTTTTAGGGGAACCTTTATTATTCCCTTCCCTTCCTTCTCTTTACTTAATATATATTATTACTTATTATAATTTACTATTCGAACACTGATACAGTTGCATCGCTCGATGCGAATAAGCCGGGCGTCTTGTCCTTTAGGCCACGACGACTTCAATCACTGAATCGAGATTTGGCCTCCCAAGTCCCCAAGGGGGGTACCAAAGTTGGCCGGATTTTTCTAGAAAAACAAGCTTCTAACTTACTCTAAGACGCGGTCCTTTGTACAGAGCATTCGGCGTGTTGTTTATAGCCAACATGTTCATTTTATTCGGTATGGGCGTCGAAGTCTGCAACGCTAGCTGTCTCTGCCTTAACTGTCCCGGTGTTGCTGGAAACAGACACTGTTCGATATTCAAATGCTCAAGAGTTGCCAACGTTTTTTGGATGATACGACTTTAGGGGTGAATAAAAGGGGAGGGGTGTAAATGCTACGAACGTGCAGTTCTAGCTGTCGGTGACCTGACCTTGTCATGTAAGGTCATGTAACATAAAAAAAATTGATCATAAAATGTTAGAGGGATTAATTTTAAGCAGCTTGTCAGACCGATAGATATAAAAGAGTTCCTGAAGCGATAATCTATATATTAATACGTGAAGCAAAAACTTTGTACCCCATTTTACGAAAATTGCGCAGACAGAGGGGTGTGAAATTTCCCATACTTAAAGAGAATATAGAGAAGGAGTGCAGAATGATAATACTTTTTTTTTAATAATGCATTAATAATACATTAAATCGATAAAAAACATTACACACACTACCACGAATTTGACACACACACACATATATATACTCTTTGTTTATTGTCAAAGTTTTGTTGTTGCTTAAAGTCTGTGGTCAAATTGAGAATAGGTTAATATTGTTTAACTTTAATATTATTTGTCTATACTGTGGTCTTAGGGTAATCTGTGAATAAAGAAGTTTAATGGTATTTGACAATAGAACCTTAATAATGTTCAAACTTATAATTTCAATCAATTATAGTCAAATTTCGACAACTTTTTTTTTATTGCTTAGATGGATGTACGAGCTCACAGCCGAGTTAAGTGGTTACTGGAGCCCATAGACATATACAACGTAAATGCGCCACACACCTCGAGATATAAGTTCTAAGGTCTCAGTATAGTTACAACGGCTACCCCCACCCTTCGAACCGAAACGCATTACTGCTTCACGACGGAAATAGGCGGGGCGGTGGTACCTACCCGGCGGGGCCACTAGTAATACATAATGACCAAACATAAATATTTGCGCTAACGTTATTCGGCATTTCGTGAGCCGGAAATGTAAAGTGTACAAATCGTTTGACCTGCCTCGCTCACGTATGCTACACTTTATTCCCTGTTTGCATTCCATTGCGCAGTTTAAACAAAACTTTTATACTGATTAAGGAATAGTAGATCTAATGTGTTTTTTGTTATGCGTCTTTAAACTACGAAAAAAACCCACACGTAATTATTAAACATTACGATACAGTGAGAAGATGAAGATCAAATGATGACACGGGAACACGAAAGTCGGATGTGGCAATTCTCAAAACTGTACATACAGGTAGTTTTCCAATTATAGCACAAGAGCGCATTATGCGGCATAATGCTCAACGTTGAATGTTCCAACTACAGCAACTCGAAGCACAATCGAGCACTCTCAAAAGTACTGCTCTCGCGTGATACTCGCAATCGATACCGACTCAGTGACAGAAAATTTACAAGTGTTTTTTCTTTAAGCTGGCATTGATCGAAATTTTGTTTATATTATCGTTAGTAATACTATTTAATGTTGAAAAAAATTGTAAGGCTTTCGTTTCGTCGTAGTTTCTTAGAAATAATCAATGTTGATTAAAACTGTGCTAACTTAGCGCACTCTGCTGATGCATTTGAAAACAAATTCACGTTCCAATTAAGCTTCAGCATAATTCGGCATTGTGCGTCACTGAGTCGTATTATGCTCTGTAATTGGAAAACTACCACAGTCTTCGCGGTAAATTCTAAACTAAACAATAAGCACGCCAATCGGTCGTCACGTTTGAATCCATCGACACATGACATCACAGACACATCGATTACAAAAATATAAGCCAAGAAACAGGCAACCGAGTACCTTTTTTCGAACTTTCCCGAACTTTAGGAAAAGGGGCGACAAAATAATATTCTACGAGCATGGAAACAAAAGTAAGGCCTATTGTGGGCGCGGAACTAGTTGGCCGCGCCTTTGGTATGTCAGCGGTGGGACGGAGAGGTGGGGGCGCTTGCTGTCATTACTGATATGAGATTTGATACTCTCTCTCTCTCTTCGATCGGTCCCTCACTGCTGAGGATCGTGACTCCGTCCGATTCCGTCAACCAGCTGTCTCCATCGATCCCGTTCTGTAGCTTGATGAGGTGCGTCGCTTACAGGTACCCTCAGTTCCTCCGCTATTTGGTCCGACCATCGTTTGGGACCTCTACCCCTAGACCTTTTTCCCTCTATTTTACCGTCACCACAAGGCGTTCCAAATAGCTGGTATCCCTGCGTGCAACATGACCAAAATCCCGCAATATTCTTTGTAGGCAGGTTATGGATAGACGGTGAGTCTTTTCTATTTTTAACTGCCTGAAAATAGAGATGTAGGTGCGGCGGGCCGTCCATGGTATTCGTAGCATGCCTCAACCCAAAGCGACCGGCTTTACCGAACTTACCGAATCGGTAACAAACATTTGGCATACATAAAACTATGAATTACAAAAGCAAAATGCAACAGAGTAGGTGGGTAGTCAAGTAATTTAATAGAGAAATATAAATTCTACTAAATGACAATAAGGTCGTATTTACAGTGGATTCTACCTGGGGGTGAACTAGGAAGATTACCGGGTACGTTCAGGGTTGGTACGAACGGCTTCAACGATTTCGACTGGTCGTCTGGACTTCCGTATTTGTCAAGGATTTCTTTGGCAACCTGGAATTTTGAAAAAAAATATGTTAGTATGATGTAGAAAAAAATTGTTACCTTAATTATTTCACAACAATATTTTCTTAGTTTATCCTGAGTACGTTTGTCTTTGGTGTATTTTAATTTTTTAATTGCATAGATGGGTGGACGAGCTCACAGCCCACCTGGTGTTAAGCGGTTACTGGAGCCCATAGACATCTACAACGTAAATGCGCCACCCACCTTGAGATATAAGTTCTAAGGTCTCAAGTATACTTACAACGGCTGCCCCACCCTTCAAACCGAAGCGCAATACTGCTTCACGGCAGAAATAGGCAGGGTGGTGGTACCCACCCACGCGAACTCACAATAGGTCCTACCACCATTTTTATTTACAATAAATATATTTGAATAGTATCAAACGTACCTTAATATTTTGAAGAGCATTAAAAACAATTTAAACAGAAATGGATTGCCGCTGGTGGTGGTGTCCATGCCATTGATGATTAGAGCTCCAGGTTAACAGGCCTCCTCATCATTTTTATGAACATCGTCATCTGCTTTTTTTGCCTACCTATGCTGATGATAGCCTTGAGAGGCTATTTCAGCGTAACCTTAACTAGTAGGTGAGCTCACGGGGCTCAAGCCTGACGACGTTGCTAACACGAACCCTAGCAAGAGCCGTGCTTCGCAGAATCTACCACCGGAGCGGAAACGCGACCCACTGAAAAGATCCGGCGAGAAACTCAGTGGGCTCGTCATCAGCATCTATCTCCTTACCTTATATGTCTCTGTGTTCATCACCTCTTCCAATATCTTCTTTTTATCCTCCCTCATTTTGCTTAACTTCATCCTGTTCTTGTTTATCATCCAATTATAATACCAGGATATTGATGACCGTAAGAATATCACACTGAAAAAAGAATACAATTATTCTTCATTAAATGTCTCCTACCGAGATACTGTTAGGCATTCCTAGCATCGGTCTGCGTTCGCTTAACCCAAAACCACAATGGACTGAGTTTCTCGCCGGACCTTCTCAGTGGTCCTCCTCAGTGGACTTTTTGTTGTCGTTGTGGCCTAAAGGATAAGACGTCCGGTGCATTCGTGTTGAGCGATGCACCGATGTTCGAATCCCAGGCGGGTACCAATTTTTCTAATGAAATACGTACTCAACAAATCTTCACGATTGACTTCCGCGGTGAAGCAATAACATCGTGTAATAAAAATCAAACCCGCAAAATTATAATTTGCATAATTACTGGTGGTAGGACCTCTTGTGAGTCCGCGCGGGTAGGTACCACCGCCTTGCCTATTTCTGCCGTGAAGCAGTAATGCGTTTCGGTCTGAAGGGTAGGGCAGCCGTTGTAACTATATTGAGATTTTAGAACTTATATCTCAAGGTGGGTGGCGCATTTACGTTGTAGATGTCTATGGGCTCCAGTAACCACTTAACACCAGGTGGGCTCTGAGCTCGTCCACCCATATTAGCAATTAAAAAAAAAGTGGGTCGCGATTTCGATCCAGTGGTAAGTTCAGAGATACCAACCCGTGCGGGCCAATAAAAAGCCCTAACTCCCGCCCACTGCACGCTTTAACCAAGAGTGACTCGCAAGGGATGAACTGACAAACACCTGAATAAATTAACTCCATACTCACAGCACGGGCAAAACCAGTAAAGGCGAGGCATACAGCAACGAATGCAACCAATACTGACTCCTCCCCACGTACATGTAGTAGTAAAGGACCGCAAATAACACGTATAGACCCACTGAATACGCCATAACGTATCCTATAACGCGTTTGTGGGTTTGCTCCTTGTATTGGCCATCTCTTTCTATGCTTTTTATATCGTTTTCTAGTCGTTCGAGTATTTCTGTTGTTGTTTTCTTGCGCTGGAACAAAAGAAAACTTAACGTAAATTCTGGTATGGAACGCGAGCGCTCCAATTAATCTTTTTCTTCTTCTAAATCGTGTCACTCTTGACCGAGTGGTCGTGATAGGGACGTAGTGTTGGAGGGGGCAGACTTGACATGTCTGCACTCATTTAACCTCTTACTGTAGTTTTAATTTGGTCAGTCTACTAAATAATTCAGATGTATATAAAAAACCGAACACCGATGAGGTAATTCACATGTGGTCGCGATCCTCAGCAGCGAGGGAACGATGTGGAAGAGAGATAGAAGAAACAATTTGTGTGTACCGCCAAACTCAAACCAAAGATCGGCCAGTACAGTGGACCGGGTTTGACCACATAATCAAGATCGAAAGAGGGCCTCTAGATGGCGATTAAAACGGTGCTATATCAGAGAGCTTTATTGTTATCTTCGATCAGCACTATTGCTATCGCCAAATGTGAAATATAAATATTACATCAAGATGGACATGCCGTTTTAAAAAACCATAAACACGTACGTCATTTTGCTTATATATAACACTAGCTACTACCCGTCCGCTTCGCTGGGAATTTGAAATTAGCATTATTATTTCTCACCCCCACAAAGAACTGGTGTAGGGAGTCCAACACTCATATAAATATTAGCCTATCCATTAAGTACAGGTATTTTCTACATGGATACCAAGTTTCAAGTCAATCGGATGCATGGTTCAGTAGTTATAAGGGAACATCCGTAAAAACCACTCTAGATTTATATATTAGTATAGATTTAACTGTGGTCCGGTCGGTGCGTAGTTAAAATAGCCCCTTAGGAAGCTGCCAATAAGATAAGTTAGGAAAAAAAACCATTAAAATAAGTAATTTTATCAGTCTATTAACGACGGTCCAATTATTAACTTATTCTCAATTCCAAATACATTAAAAACCCGTTCTCCCTATCTACAGTAACTGAAATAGCTGAATATTATTTTACGTACCATCTTCAACGGATATCTCACGAAAGTCGAACACCAGAACAATTACTATTGAATCACGAAACACCCAAAATCTGCGATCTCTTATCTCTTGCACTTTTAAAAACAACAAATTCGTTTTCCTATTGCCGTTCACAATTCAAAAGTCAAAAGTCATTCTTCAATTTCAAATCATCTACATAGTGCTTCGAGTTAGGATGACCTAGATATAAATCGGCCGTGAAAACGTATCGGCTATCGTTAGGCGATTTTGGCATCAATTTTTAAACTTTTTGGTACTAGTCCAAATTTGTATTGTTACTACTAATAGTTTGATTGTATAAATCACTGGGTCACGCTGCACTTGTTTTATTTATCACAACTTGTTTCGCCTATGATCGCATTTCGAAGGTCGAAAATTAGACCAATTTTTAAGGAAAAAGAGTACTTTTATTTTCATGTTCACATGCGTGTTTTTGACGCACATAATCTTCTAAATCATTTTATTGTATATTGCATAACAGCTGTCTCACTCTTCAAGTCGAATTGTCACTGCTTTACAGCAAATTAAGACTGTAGCACCTTCTACCATACATACAGGATACCAAATCTGTAGTTTTTTATTATCATACCCTTTTTAATTATATAATCCATACTAATAACAGGCACTTAATATAGTAATGAATCTAAAAGAACCGCTTCCAGCCGTTTTCAGACAGTAATATCGAAAAATTACCATAGTTGCAATACCATTTGCTGTACAAGAATTTCTGTGCAGCACGCAATGCAATACAAAAAACTGACGGAATCAACGGTTTCTTGTGACGCTACACTGCAGACCTACCTACGAAATAGGTCTACAGTGGTACTACAGGTCTACAGTAGGTATTGAGGTCTACAATGTATTTAAGCCATTTTTTCCTAACATTGCCGTTTTTGTAGCGGAAGTAAAACCGGGCGCCCGAAGGTCTTTCCAGCTTTGGTAGAACTGGTGGGGAACAGAAAAGCCAGGAGTATTTTATTGCTTAGATGGGTGGACGAGCTCACAGCCCACCTGGTGTTAAGTGGTTACTGGAGCATACAGCAACAGCAACAGCAACATAGACATCTACAACGTAAAATGCACCACCCACCTTGAGATATAAGTTCTAAGATCTCAATATAGTAACAACGGCTGTCCTACCCTTCAGACCGAAACCCATTACTGCTTTACGACAGAAATAGGCATTGGATGGCTTTCTAACAGCTGCTCGACCGCCCCAGAAGGCCTAACAGCTCAAAGACAGCTGCTTTGCGCACTAGAGTGGTAATAGCAGCCACTTCCTCACAGGTCGCCCCCTAAACTTCACCGGTGAGGAGTTCAACAACTATCTCTGTTCTTGTTACTGCTACCAGTACTATCCAACAGCACTGAGATTATATCGGGTGGGTCCGTGAAGAATGTGTCTAGAGCATTGACAGTAATTGGCATTAACATTCAACAGCCGGATCAAGTGGGACTGTATTATTCATAACAGTGACATAAACATATTTAGATTCACAATCTGCCAACCAGTATGTTCTAATTATTTCTGAAAGTCATTATCGCACCCGAACCCACAGAACCCACTGAGTTTCTCGCCGGATCTTCTCAGTGGGTCGCGTTTCCGATCCGGTGGTAGATTCTGCGAAGCACTGCTCTTTTTAGGGCCAGTTTTAGCAATGTCCCCAGGCTAGAGACCCGCGAGCTCACCTACTCGCTCGGCAAATCTAGTATGACCCCTCGAGGTAGCAATGTACCCGGTTAGAGACCCGCGAGCTCACCTACTCGCGGGGAAAATCTAATATGACCACTCGAGGTAGCAATGTACCCAGATTAGAGACCCGCGAGCTCAGCTACTCGCTCGGCAAATCTAGTATGACCCCTCGAGGTAGCAATGTACCCAGATTAGAGACCCGTGAGCTCAGCTACTCGCAAGGCAAGTCTAGTATGACCCCTCGAGGTAGCAATGTCCCAAAATTAGAGACCCGTGAGTTCACCTACTCCTCGGCAAATCTAGTATGACCTCTCGAGGTAGCAATGTACCCAGATTAGAGACCCGTGAGCTCAGCTACTCGCTCGGCAAATCTAGTATGACCCCTCGAGGTCACTAGAATGGGTAGGGATATTATAATCGCTTTTGAATTGATGGATAGACTAGTTATAGCCGTTCTTAAATCGGACCAGACTCACCGAACAGACACTCGGCCATCGTGTATCAAAATAGAAATCTCTTTGAATGCCACCGACCACTCGAAAACGAAATTACGAGCAACGTCATCGAGATTAAACTTTTATAAATAAAAAAAAACGAAAGCATCTGAATATCTATACCAAAAAATTACTAGACCGTGACTCGGACGTTTCGATTGTAAATTGAACTTTATTTAGCTTTAGTAAAGAACGTTTTTTGATTAAACACTCTCAGAGGATCTCAGACACCTGAAAGTGAACGTATTGTGTATGACATTCATACGACTGTTTGTGACTATAGCTCAGCATTTAGATATTTTTTTGTATAGTCTTTACAATGGCTTAGATGAGCAGACAGATAGACACAGGTATCTGTAGACGCGACTCCCAGTATGAAGCTACTAGGAAACATTCAGTTTCAGTAGGTCATCCTAAAAGCACTGATAAAGGTTTTGACAAAATCAAAACGATCCTCCGATAATTATTTTGGTGTATCCCTTTTTTTTCTTTTCTATTGCTTAGATGTGTGGACGAGCTCACAGCCCACCTGATGTTAAGTGGTTACTGGAGCCCATAGACATCTACAACGTAAATGCGCCACACACCTTGAGATATAAGTTCTAAGGTCTCAGTATAGTTACAACGGCTACCCCACCCTTAAAACCGAAACGCATTACTGCTTCACGGCACAAATAGGCGGGGCGGTGGTACCTACCCGTGCGGACTCACAAGAGGTCCTACCACCAGTAATTACGCAAATTATAATTTTTAATAATTTCGATTTAATATTACGTAATAATTCGAATACCTTTAACATCGACGCATTTAATACTCATATATACCTACATATTATTATGTGACATGTGTTTTGGTAGGCAGCGGCTTGGCTCTGCCCCTGGCATTGCTTTAATCCACTCACCATCAGGTGGACCGTATGCTCGTCTGCATACAAGGGGCATAAAAAAAAAAGACGACATATATTGGCCTGTTCGTCGTGGTCTGGCCTGTTAGTATGATCAGATTAAGACGACTGTGGAATCCAGCATCAATGTCGCTATCCACTGCGCGGAGGACAGAAGTGAATGGAAGAACATAGTCCTGACAAAAGTGCTCAGTAAAGGTCACGACCCTCAGAACTGAGGAATACGACGCAGGGAGGATATTGGCTTGAAATAATGGGTTCTTGGCGGATTGCGAACGAATGAACCTGAATTTTATAATGCGATGATAAAAAAAATGTTTTTCTTACTAACAAATATTTATCTATGAAAAATAAATCATTGCGTCAAAATGCGATAAATATGTTCTCTGATTCGATTCTATTGTAATACCGGTCACTCACATTCGCACGAATACGCAAACCCGCAAGTGTAGGACGACATTATTGCTCATTTGGTGAGTGGCCGGCATAAGCATCACATGAAAAGTGGCTCAATCAAGGTAGCAGCGTCAAATCAGCAAAATTCAATATAAAATTATGCAAAATTTGTAGCTTTTTTGTTGCTATTTAGTTGCTAAAACCGCGATTTTGTTGCTTGAGCCGTTCGCGAAAAATCGCAATTACTGCTAACTTCATATAAAGCTAGCATAAAATTTTGATAAATCAATAAATATCGATTCAACTATTGAACCAAAATTTGTTGCTCATTTGTTGCTGCAAGTAAGCACTAACGAAAAAAAAAAAAAAAAAGACCTGACGTATTTTTGAAATTGGCAATGATTTTTTTAAACACATGCTAGCTTGAACTCGACTTGCTAAACAAAAAATGAAAAGAAGATTTAGTTGCTTCATTGAACAATGTTCAAATGGGCCTAAAGAATCAGCAACAAAAT